TTCGTTATCACATAGCTATACGATAAGTGATACACTTCTTCATCAGTGGTCCTCGAAACAAAAGTATGACGCCGAAGTAGAGGCACTAACTGCTTGGGATTTGATATCAATAAACCAAACTGGCCTGATAGCACCAACTAAACCACCAACTCCTCCAACAAACTTAACCATTTATGCTACACAACAGGTCCTTTTTTCTTGTAAATCTATTCATTCTATATCCTTTTATCGATTTTCAGTTCTTGTATATATTATGTAACTGAATCACTCACATCCTTTTGATTTTCATCTTAAATTTTTTCCTCCATTTATCTGATTGCTTAGAAGAATTAGCTTCCCAATCCTTCTATAGTAATTTAATAAATTTCATTCTGTGATATTTATCGTAATTCGATGATACTTATTGATAAGTTACAGAAAACCGTCGATGGTGCTCGGGCATTAATGGATTTATTCTGGGAGGAACCGACGGAATGGAACGGGGAAGCCTTGGGTTATTTGATCAATTGCACAGTGGATGGTTACAGTGAATCGATTGCAGAAGTACCTGCCACAACACGTTTCTACTCTTTTAGTGTAAAATCGGGAAGTGTTAGTTGTGCTGTGGCAGCTCATAATGAACCAAAACTTGAAACATTTTCGGAAGTTGTTACCATTGATAGCAGTGGTTAGTATATTTGGAATGAATCTTTCGCATTGATTTTTTCGTTTGTCTGTTAAATGATGACTTCTTATGTGTTCTCTATTTAACTATACTTATCGTAATATTTTTGCTTTAAATTACTTCAGCAAATACGTATTTTAAGAGTTACGACCACTAGTCCGTTTATTTGCGATCGATTCTAACAACAATGTATTTTCAATCTTAAACTGGTCACCTTCTTCATCTCAAGTATCAGCTCGTATCAAAAGACAGACTTCATCACTACTGGCAGTATGGATTTTGAGCATATTACAAGAAATAAGCCTTAAAATTAGATTTAAACAATAAATTTTATTTTCAGATCACGGAACAATCAATAGCATATATTGGTAATGACCTGTATTCGATAAGAAAAGATTTCGACTCTGTGCAGCCTTTTCTGCTTCGCCTTGATCCTAATAATGTGGAAAATATTCTGCACAAGGTAGGTTAGAATGCATTGAAAGTTGAAAAAAGATGAATTTATGAGCAATTTCAGGTTTCAATAGGAGGTGAGATTGGTAAAGTTGACGCAATGACGTCTGATTGGGTAGCTAATCGTTTGTTGTTCGTTTCAACAGCACGTGTCATGCAATTACCTCTTGATGCCATTCAAGTACCTTAATTTACTCGTACTTTTTTATATGTTGCTGTAACTTACTATTGGTCATAAATCAATAGTTATGTGAGTAGTCGTGCACTGATTCAATAATACTCGCTATCATGATAATAATACTCGCTATGTTACCATAAGATCTAATCGGATTGTTGTGTTTCTTCAGTCGTGAATATAATGCATTTAATATTATCAAGTATCCAGTTTTAGAGTCTTTCGGTGATTACACCACTTCGCATAATGAATCTTTCATCAGGTGCTGGTGATGCGAAACAACTACTTTTCGACCCGTTTTCCAAGTTCGTTCTATCTTTTAGCTTTTTTTTGATGATAATTTTTTGCTGAAATCATTTCCATTGATATTCTTAATTCCATGAATTTTTCTTTTTAAATAAATTTCAGCACTGGTTTTTTGCTTACGAAAAATGGTTCACTTTTTGCATTGGATCTCAATATGGGTATGGAAGAAAATATGGCGCATAGGTTTGTTTTCTTTTTTTTTTCAGTACAGATGTATGCTTTCTATTATTCAATAAAATATGAAGAATGGAATTTGAAGTATTACTTATTAGGTTAGAATGTCTGAAATCAGAAACGATATCGTGGATGATGACTGATTTCGCCTGGAATTTGGCTTCATTACCGGCGATTTATGTACTCACTTGGAATGGTATGGTGCGCGTCGATTTAGCATCTTCAAAATGTGACGAAATTAAATTTGCATGGGAAAAGTTTGGAGGTATTTTATCTCTTGTTCTCTTACTCCTTATTAAAAACTACAAAATAAGCAAGCATTATCGTAAAATGACAATGTATAAGTTCTATGTTTAACAGGACTAAATAGTTGAACTTTCCAGAAAAAGGACTCAAATCAATATTATCCTTTGCAATCGCTGATAAATTGTACATTTTCGTTACTTCCTCCGCACTAGTTGTCTATGAATTGGGCTCCTCAACGGCAGCACCAATCGCCATCAATGGCTCACCCCTCAAACAAATTCTCGTTGCCACACAATCTACTCAACCATTTCCGGGTGTGTTTATGTGTTTCTGGAATTTCCAGTTTTAGCTCAAATTATTTGTTACATTTAGATCAAAGTAAATATCGACGTTTAAGGATAACGAATTCGAGGAACTGCAGAGATGTTTCCATTTTTCAGTTCTAAATCTACTTTTTATCACAGCGAATTTTACGTTTATAATGAGATCAGGAAGCTGATCGTTTATATTAGGAGTCCTTTTCAGAAGATCAGCGTATGTAGTTGGTGCTCGATACATTCTGCTTTCGAGAGTTGCATTACACCAATCATCTGAATGACGTAAAACGATTTATGGAATCATTCGTTTTAAACTGTATCGATTTCAGAGCGGTCTTGTTTTGTCTTACCACCAGCATCTGAAATTAAGTTCACTGTGCAGAACGAAGAGCGAAGTGGAGCATTAATCTCGGTCAATGAACCTCAGTTGCCCAATGTTTGTCCTGTATGTTTTGGTTGTCTCAGTTATTACTAGTTCGTTTTTCTTTTTTTTCTTTTTTTTTTTTTTTTTAATTATGAATACCATGGCTTATCATCAGTTTGTTTTATGCGTTAATTTACTGCAGGGTATCTCATTGCCTCCGACGCAATATGAAATCCATTTCCAGCGAAGAGGGTCTGATAAAATTCGCAACATTCACAGTATTAGCAATATCCTTCATGTGGAAAATGGTGTTCTGGATAAAGAAGCTGAGTACGCCTTTAAAATCAAAGCACAAGTTAGAAGTGTATTTCGCTGTTAATTTGGAAAAACTTGATCCGATATTCAGGATCATTCGGAGTGATTCAGATGAGAAGTATCACAACTTATGTTGGGTGAAATATTTGTGTTGTTTTGAGTTGCTAGTTGGCAGCTTTTTATAGAAACATTTCGCTTTTTTTTTCTAATGATACTGCTGCTGTTTCAGTTACGATATATCGATTTCATGGTTTAATCGTTATACGCCGGTATCAGAAGCTAGTGCAATGCAAATGCTTCGTACCGGTTACGGTTTTCCATCATCACCGCAGGGTCCAGCCGCTTTTGCGTTGACTCCAGATATTGTATTGCTTTACTGGAAATTACCCGCGAAACTGAATGCACCAATTCCTGAAATTAAATATATGGTTTGTTGGTGTTTTTTGTGTTCTTAATAAACTTGATTAATGGCATCGATGATTGTGCTACCATCGCGTTTTGAGAAATTTTTGCCTGTCATTTCTGCTAATAGTCGCTTCATTTTTTTTATTCAGACATTTCTAAAGGTCAGATATAACAGTATTATCATTACTGGTAGTAGGAATCATTAATTAATGGATGCTCTTGAAATAAATTTGTCAAGAACTGTTCCAGATAAGTCAGCTTAGTGCGACGCAGCTCTCACCCTCAGCGATCGGTGCACAACAGTTTGAAGGGACGGATTATGCTACTATGCCAACAGATGTTGTTTCCTGTCTGAGTGATCCTTGTTCTGCAAAGATTTCCAATCTACGACCCTCTACTGATTATAAATTCTGGGTAATTTTTATTAGAGGAAAACGCTAATATGAAGTGCATAAGTATGTGATTTTTTTTCCTTTTTCTAATTTATATTTTGTATATAGTAGAATAATCTAATAGGATTGCTTTAATTTCCGAGTTTTTGATTATGCGATTTTGTTGCTTAGGCTTTATTGGTGTTTTCTGTTCAGCAATGGAAAAGTAGAGTTAATTTTTGTTGAGTTGAACCACTGTGGGATGGATAAGAAGATTTCATGTTTCTTCATGTTTTAGTTTTCTATAAATTCAGGTACGTGCGATCCACGAAAGTCATCTAAACATGCAGTTTGTGGATGATACAGAAGGAAGTTCCACAGAAGCATCAGTTCGCACAAAAGATATAGCTGGAACATTGCGCCTTGATAATATTACTGGTACCACTGTTGTACTGCGATGGAATTCGCTGGACCCTGAATCTTACCCAAAACGTATATTCATCCAGTATCGAATCGTATGTTACTTTCATTTACTTTTTGTAATTTTGCTGAGAAGAAATGAATTTCTAAGTTGAAGAAATTGCGCCTTGACAATATTACTGGTACCACTGTTGTACTGCGATGGGATTCGAAACAGTCAGCAAAAAACTGATATTTCTCGAAAATAATTCTTGCTTTATTGATTTTTTCGATGTTTAAGGTGGGAACGAACGCCATTTGGAAATCACCGTATAATGCATCATTCGAAGGTTCTGCAAAATCAGTGGCTGTGGTTGTACGCTCATTGCATTCAGCCACCACTTACGACTATCGTTTTGCAGCGGAATATGTGGATAGCTATCGTTATGCAAATCATGATTATTCTTACAATGAAACATTTTTGCAAGTTTCACAGCAGTTTCGGACAAAACGTAACGTTTTCTTACTCTGCCCAATGACAGAAATACTTAAAAAGGAAGAGACATAATTAGATTTAAATGTAAAAAAAATTTTTTTGACCATCCAAAATAGTGCATTTTTCAGCTGGAACTCCGTCGGCTCCAGCAAGTATACATCTTGTTCAGGAATACAACGAATGGATAGTGCGTTGGGAAAAGCCATTGAACGATGGTGGTTCGCCGATTACTTCATATGCCCTCGAATTCAGGTTCAAAATTTTTTGCATAAAATTTATGGAATCCCGTGAACAATATCGCAGTCGAATTCAATTCCCGATCAAAAAATTTTTTCAATTTTTCAAATTTATTTTTTTTAAATGTTACCTTGGCAAAGTTTCATTATTCGAATATTTTTACTTTTAATTTTTGAAGACCAGATGAAGATTCCGAGTGGGAAATAGCCGAACGAGGACTGGAGGGCGGTTGCTTGTGGTGGAAACCGTTGAGAATAAATTTCCTATCTGAATGTGCTGAATTTCGCATTCGAGCAGCAAATTCGGAAGGTTTCGGTGCATATGCATATTCGAGGCATCACAGTGGTAGTAGTGTTTTAAAAATTTATTCATTTTAATTTTCAAAATTTATTGAAAGCATTTCCACTGATTCATGCTATCTTAGCAAAGTTTCATTATTCGAATGATTCTCGCTATCGTCTTAAACTTGTTATTAAAAAATTTGCTGCACTTAACTTTCAGATCGTTTAGGAGAATCTCATACTCATTCTTTATGGATTATAATCATTACACTGCTCATCGCTATCTTTTTACTAACTACTTTCATTGCTGTTTTGTTTAGTATGTGTTATTTTTATAAATAAAACCTCATTGGCAGCCAAATCTAAGAGTGAATTTCTAATTTAAAAAAATTTGTTGTTCCTCAAAAGTCATGGGAAAAAATCAATCAGTAATGATAATAATAAAACAAATACAATGATAAAATATGACCTATCCTTTCTTTTTTAGTATATTTTCAACGAAGTGACAGAAGACGCAATAAAATTCGATTGCAAGATATAAGCTTGCATGGTTATACGAATTCAATCAAAAAAAATATTTTGTCTCCACAAGTTATCAATGATCTAAAAAGTATGTGACAATTTCAATGCTGAATGCTGAGTGAGCCGTATCTTTAGTGATTTCTTTTTTTTGAGCTTTTAAATTAAATGGATTTCATTTTCAGTCATTTCTCGGGTACCGAAAAACAATATCAGTCTATTGCGCATAATTGGGAAAGGGAGTTTTGGAGAAGTTTACGAAGGACTTGCAGGTGGATTACCTCAATCACCGGCAAAAGCAATTAGGGTTGCTGTCAAAGTTGGTTTTAAATTCTTGATCTCTATTTCATTCTCTGTAATTCAAATTGATAACTAAAGAACACAATTAACTCTTTTTTAAATGAAAACTTGAATCATTTTGTTCTTTATTCTTACCTTTGAGTTTTGGAAAAAAAAACGATTCAAAATTTTAGACTCTAAGAAGCGGATTTTCTGAATCAGATCGGATGAAATTTCTTCAGGAAGCAGTTTTAATGAAGCAAGTTTTGCAGGTTTTTTCTTTTTGTAAAATATTACTGGATCGGAATCGCAGTTATAATTTTCTAACTTGAATTTCATTACTTTTAAGCAGTTTCGATCATCCCAATATTGTAAAATTACTGGGTGTATCACTCGAAACAGAGCCATATTTTCTGATTATTGAACTGATGGAAGGTGGCGACCTTCTTGGATTTCTTCGTTCCAGGTTTTCTCTCACTTTCTCAATGACTTAATTAATCATTTATGGGATAAATAATATCTGTATACCTGGTTTCTCTGAATTCCTGTCTTCTATGCGCTAATGATTCCTTTAGCCGTCCATCTGATTGTCTCCCGTCACAGCTTTCGTTGTACGAACTAATAGGAATGATGGTTGACATAGGACGTGGTGCTGCTTATCTAGAAGTTAAAAAACGCGTACATCGCGATCTAGCAGCTAGAAATTGTCTCATTTCTTCAAGGAATTCTAATACACGAATTACAAAAATAGGTAATAATTCACTTCTTAGTACGATATGAAATATTCACTTGAGATTTTCAATTTTTGTTACGTAAAATGTTTAAAATAAAAATAATCTTGCGATTGGGAAATTTTTTTAAATATTAGGCGATATTCTGGGTAAGAGGGAATAATGTAGCAGAAGTTAATCATGCCTTAGTTATCAGTTTTCCTCCCAAATTCTGATCCCTTATTGTAGCTGATTTTGGTCATGCTCGTGATATTTATACTAACGATTATTATCGTGTACATGGCGATGATTTCATACCATTACGATGGTTGTCACCCGAATCAATTAATGACGGTATTTTCACATCAAAAAGTGATGTATGGTCATTCGGTGTACTACTATGGGAAATTTTAACTCTCGGACAGCAACCTTTCTCAGGCAAAAATAATGTACAGGTAAGGTTTTGCGATGAAAATGACCAGTGAAGAAAGAGAACAGATCTCCAACAAATATTTCCAATAAAAGTTTTTGATCAAAAATTGGATTAGATCTTTCTTAAGTTAAATTCGAGTTTTTTTTCTTCCTTTATCGAAACAATTAAATGCTATTGCTAACTGAAAAAGAAATTTGCCCGCTCAAAAGGTGACATAAGCTCAAAGCTTTTTCTGAAGTTGTATGATTTATAGAATTTTCAAAAACCAGTAAAATTAGTAGGGAAATTCGATGAATTTTTTTCAGAAAATTATTTTAACCAGAAATAATTGTTTACTATAGGTGATGTCCTTTGTGAAGAATGGTGGGAAGCTAGAGAAACCACAGTTTTGTCCGGATGAAATGTGAGCTTATTTGCGCTTATTTCTGGATGTACTGTTTTTTCGTGTCTATTTATCGTTTATAAGCAGTTGGTTGTAGTTTCGCTATTGTGGATCGTGCTTGGATTTACGACCCAGAAGAGCGTCCACAATTTGCTGACCTTTTGCCGGAACTGGAAGCTTTGCGCGGTTGTCCATTGTATCAGGTTTTTCAACATATATTGATGGTTTACTGCTTGTTTTTCTTTGTAAGCTTGCACCAACGCTGCGGTGAATCTGGATAGTCAAATTCAACTCTTGTTTACTTTTCAAGCAAAGAAATTCCAATATAGGAAGATACTCCGTATCCGCCGAACTCTTCATCACTGAGAATTGATTCAAATTTCGAGCTTTCATTCAATTCTAATATAAGTCGTGGAGAAAGTGGACGTAGCGGAAGTGTAAGATTCGATAAAAGTGGTTAGTTTTCAATAATTGAAATCTTAATAGGTACAGTGAGTCACAGTAACAGTCCACGACTTGCTGATCTTTTGCGGGAATTGGAAGCTTTGCGTGGCTGTTCACTGTACCAGGTTTTTCAGTACACATTCTCTTTATTTTTTCCTGCAAATTATGAAACTTTTCCGTACAGATCAGTAGAAGAAACTTTTTAACTCAGTTTGTTTTTTACTACAAGTCTTTTTCAGATAATCCTTCAGCAAAGAAACAGGGCCGCCCATCAATTTTGCGCTCACTTCGTAAAGAGCGCCCGAGACTGCCTGTATGCTGCTTTCGTATTTATAATTTCATATCGGACCTTGCAGCAAGCAAGGTTTCCAATGGAAAATTGGGATTTCTGGGATAGAAATTCCTTGAGTTTTTGTTAGCATTTAGTAAGAAGTGTCTAACTCGGAAGTATTGAGACTGATTGGCAGTAGACAGCGTTAAATAAACCGTTCTATATTATAAATTTATTATACTGCAGCCCAGTCTCGCTGATTTGGAAACCAGTAATCGAGGGTTCAGGTCAGTGAATAGCGTTACGAGCGACATCGATTCATTAACACGGGGTCAAGTTGTTTTCCACCTTAGTTGTTACTTATCATACTATTTTGTTACCGCTTATGAACTAGTTGAATGATTGTTTATCGCATATAGGCTGACCGGAATTTTTTTTAAGATTGCGATGAGGGATTTGACGATAGCGCTTTCATATCAAGTGACTGCTTTGGTAAGATACTTCTCTCGAATGTTGCATCTTTATTTCATGTGGGGCTATTGATAAAATCTTGAAGTTGTAAAATTTGCAAGTTTTAGAAGTGCCGAAAAAGTCGCATTCCAAGAAACCACAGATAAATCGACCAAAACAGCGAGCTCCTGAACCATCAAACCATTCTCCTGTGTCGTCATCATCGGCGAGTCCTCATTCTTCTCCCAGAAGCCCGTCATCGGGTGACAGTGACATCCCATCAATTTACATTCGACCAGCTCGAGTTAGCCGAGTTTAAATAAGATTGATCAATTTTGTATTTCGTGGTTCGGTCTTGATTTCAATTTCCGATCACTTCACCATTCTTTTTATTCTTCATCTTGTTTTGGATTCCGGGAGTGAAAGATCATTAAAATTAGTGCGAGAAAAATTTAGAAATGTAAATGGCAAACGGGGTGGGATTGTTTTGTTTCACTGAGATCCCAGTATGTTTCGTAATATCGTTTTCATTTCTATTGTTATGCAAGCGTTCATGTTTGGGTTCTTTAGGATGTTGTTTAGATGGTGTGGGTGATATGAGCAGCCAGGTATATGTCTGATTTCAGTGCTCAATTTATTTTTTCATTGCTATTATGATATTTTTGGAACCAACGCGAATTATTTCTCTAATTTTCCACTTTTATCTTACTTTTGCAGAAGGAAAAAGTAGCTTTATATCAACTTCGTTATTCTGAATATCGTTCAAGTAACATGCTGACTAAACCTGGGTTTTATTCGGAAATTCTGTCACTTAAATTATACCATCAGAGATTCTGAACAAATCAAACCATATCCCTGTAAACGGAACAAACGATTAGAAGGAAGCTTACCAATCACGCTCCTGTGAAACAATCTTGCGATAATAGACAAGTACATGATATTAGAGTAGTGCAGAACAGGAAACCGTAGATTTGAAACAGGAAGGTGGATAAATTGATTGCTTCCAACTCCTAGGTAAACACAAGTACGACTACTGAAAGCTTCAAAATCGCACTTCAAGAATCTTATGGAGTAGAAAGAGGTTCACCACCTCTCTCTCTCTCCCTGCGTCTTTGCCTTTTCATCTTTTCGTTTGTCAGAAAGTGCATCACATCACCGATGAACTGTAGATCAGCAGGTTATCCTCATGTTAAAATATCAGAATGAAATGAAACGAATTCCCTCGTTTAACAGTCTGGAAGCAATTTATACATTCTTTTTCCCGATAAGAGTAGGAGTTCGTGCGCACTTTACCAAATCTCTAGTTGCATGAATTTTCTATCTCCCCGAGAAATTTCAGTCCCAAATATACATAATGGCAAACCTCAGTCTAATCCAGAGAAATGGAAATCGTTGCTACGCCTTGAAATTCTGTATATTCCTTCCCACTATTTCGCTTTTCCATTTTGTGAAGTTCCAAAAAAAGGAAAGTCTAAGAATATCAAAAAGAAAATTTGACCAGAAATTGGTCCGACAGCAATTAGGGCCGTGAACCCAACAGGAAACCAGCTTAATCTTGAACGCATCATAAATATTAGTTCTCGACACGGAGTATTTCTGCTCCCCCCTTTTTCCCCTCCCGCTCTTTATTATTGATATCATGCTAATGTTCTAACTCAG